TGTCCCGGTGTCCCGGTTTCCCGGTTTCCCGGTTTCCCGGTTTCCCGGTTTCCCGGTTTCCCGGTTTCCCGGTTTCCCGGTATCCCGGTATCCCGGTATCCCGGTTTCCCGGTTTCCCGGTTTCCCGGTTTCCCGGTTTCCCGGTATCCCGGTATCCCGGTATCCCGGTATCCCGGTATCCCGGTATCCCGGTTTCCCGGTTTTCCGGTTTCCCGGTTTCCCGGTTTCCGGTTTCCCGGTTTCCCGGTTTCCCGGTTTCCCGGTTTCCCGGTTTCCCGGTTTCCCGGTTTCCCGGTTTCCCGGTTTCCCGGTTTCCCGGTTTCCCGGTTTCCCGGTTTCCCGGTATCCCGGTATCCCGGTATCCCGGTATCCCGGTATCCCGGTATCCCGGTTTCCCGGTTTCCCGGTTTCCCGGTTTCCCGGTTTCCCGGTTTCCCGGTTTCCCGGTTTCCCGGTTTCACGGTTTCCCGGTTTCCCGGTTTCCCGGTTTCCCGGTTTCCCGGTTTCCCGGTTTCCCGGTTTCACGGTATCCGGGTATCCCCGTTTCCCGGTTTCCCGGTATCCAGGTTTCCCGGTTTCCCGGTTTCCCGGTTTCCCGGTTTCCCGGTTTCCCGGTTTCCCGGTTTCCCGGTTTCCCGGTTTCCCGGTATCCCCGTTTCCCGGTTTCCCGGTTTCCCGGTTTCCCGGTTTCCCGGTTTCCCGGTTTCCCGGTTTCCCGGTTTCCCGGTTTCCCGGTATCCCGGTTTCCCGGTTTCCCGGTTTCCCGGTATCCCGGTATCCCGGTATCCCGGTATCCCGGTTTCCCGGTTTCCCGGTTTCCCGGTTTCCCGGTATCCCGGTATCCCGGTTTCCCGGTTTCCCGGTTTCCCGGTTTCCCGGTTTCCCGGTTTCCCGGTTTCCCGGTATCCCGGTTTCCCGGTTTCCCGGTTTCACGGCATCCCGGCATCCCGGCATCCCGGCATCCCGGCATCCCGGCATCCCGGCATCCCGGCATCCCGGCTGCCCGGCTTCCCGGCTTCCCGGCTTCCCGGCTTCCCGGCTTCCCGGCTTCCCGGCTTCCCGGCTTCCCGGCTTCCCGGCTTCCCGGCTTCCCGGCTTCCCGGCTTCCCGGCTTCCCGGCTTCCCGGCTTCCCGGCTTCCCGGCTTCCCGGCTTCCCGGCTTCCCGGTTTCCCGGTTTCCCGGTTTCCCGGTTTCCCGGTTTCACGGTTTCCCGGTTTCCCGGTTTCCCGGTTTCCCGGTATTGCCTGGTGGTGACCCGCCTGGAGAACGCCATCAGCGCCATCCTCGCCTAGTTTGAGTCCGGCATCGAGAGCGACGCCTCGGGCATCCCATGGCCCTTCTCCATGCTGGACCTCTATGAGGTCATGGCCGGGGTGAGGCCTGACTTGGATGCGGCATGCAATGGTGTGGTACGGTGGTGTGCAGTGGAGTGCGGTGGGGTGGGGTATGTTTGTTTCGCTCAGCCTTTCCGTGTGTCCAGGCTCGGTCGCTCTCGACAAGCGCCTGGCTGAGCGCCTCTTCTCCATGCTGGAACTCTATGAGAATGAGATCACGGCCAGCCTTCAGCCCGACTTCCATGGTGCTTGTAAAGGTGGGGTGGGATGAAGTGCAGTGTAGTGGTGTGGGGTGGGGTGTGGTGTGGTGGGCTGGCGGAGCGACTCTTTTCCATGATGGACCTCTACAAGATCATGGCCCCGGTGGGATGGTGGGCGTGGTACTGGCACTCAGCTTCAGAAACGCTTCATTCCCTCGCCCCCCCCTCGCCCCTTACCCACCACTCTTCGCCCCTCCTCGTCCCCCTTCACCCCCCACCCTCCCCTCCCATCACCCGTCGCCGTTCCTCAGCCATGGAGGGGCAAACAGCCCATGCACGGGTTCAAGGGATCGAGTTTGCGCTGCGCTGGTGGTGACACGCTCTCCAGTTTCCTGCCCCTCACATCCACAAGCCCTTCTTTCCCTCACCCCTCCTCACCCCTCCTCGCCCCTTCTACCTCTCTTCGCCCCTCCTAGGGGACAGTCCGTGCACGGGCCTAAGAGATGAGTTTGCGCTCGTGGTGACTCGCCAGGAGAATGCCATCAGCGCCATCCTCGGCCCGTTTGAATTTGGCATCGAGAGCGACGCCTCCGACATTCAACCTTCTCCCTCTCTCAAATTCCTGCTGCTGCTTTCCTGGCTCTTCAATCCGAAACTCATACTTTTCTTCCCCCCTCTCCTTCCCTCCCCCCACCCTTCCTTGCCCTTCCTCACTACTCTCCACGGATGGCGCGGCAGGGGACGGACGGCCCCTGCACGGGCCTAAGGAGCGAGTTTGCACTGGTTGTAACGGGCCTGGAGAACGTCATCAGCGCCATCCTCGCGCAGTTTGAGTCCGGCATTGAGAGCGACGCCTCGGACATTCAATCCCCTCCCTCTGCTCCTTCCCCTCACCCCTGGGCAGGGGACGGCCCCTGCTCGGGCCTAAGAGATGAGTTCTCCCTGGTGGTAACCCGTCTGGAAGAAGCCATCACCGCCATCCTCGCGCAGTTTGAATCCGGCATTGAGAGTGACGCCTCCGACATCCCAGCCACCGCCACCATCCACGGGCTCACGCGCTACGTGGTCAACTATGTGATTCTGCTCTACGAATACCGGGACTCGCTCGAAAGGCTGTTCAAACGAGGCGACGCTGCTGCTGCTGGGAAGATTCACAAGCTGGTTGTTTCGAATAAGAAAGGAGGGGGAGGAGGGGGGAGGGATGGGAGCGGGAGGGATGGGGGCAGGGGAGAAGGCGGGTTGGACACGCCGGGCGAGTCGAGTGGGAGTGAGATGAGTGGGAGTGGCGAGGAGGGGAGTGGGACGGAGGGGAGTGAGAATGAGAGCGAGGAGGAGGACGAGGAGGAGGCAAGGAGGCGGGAGCAGGCGAGGAGGGAAGCACGGAAGGGGTTCAGAGGGGCGGGGGTGCCGGAGTATGCAGGGCTGGGGCGCAAGGTGGTGTGGCAGCTGGCGGTGCTGGAGAAGAATCTGCAGGGCAAGGCGAGGCAGTATAGGGATCCTGCTCAGGGCGAGGTGTTTCTCCTCAACAACATTCACTACATGGCCAGGAAGGTGAGGGTTGCTTTGTTGAATGTGTTCTCACTCAGATATCCTCTATTGTTACCCTGTATTTTTCGTTCCAATGACTTATGAGGTGCTTTTGCTCAACAGCATCCTATGCATGGCCTGCAAGGTGGGGTTTTTTAGTCAGCAGCCGCATTGCTGACTGCGCTCGTTGCTCTTCTCTAAACGCACTCTCCGTGTCCTGCTCGTTGATTCACTACCAGTCCTCCCCCCTTTGTCTACCCTCCCGTCTCCTCCCCTTCTCCGCAGGTGAAGGAGTCGGACATGAGGGTGGTGGTGGGGGACGACTGGATGCACAACCCTTGTCTCTGCCCCTTGCTGATTGAATCCTCCCTCCCACCCAATCCCCCCCCCCCCCACTCATCCTCCTCTCGTTTGCAGGTGAAGGAGTCGGACATGAGGGTGGTGGTGGGGGACGACTGGGTGAGGAGGCAGGTAGCGCTGGTGAGGCAGCATGCGAGCGAGTACCTGCGCTTCTGCTTCTCCCGCCTCTCCTATACTTTGCGCATCGACCCGTCCACTCAGCTGCACAAGAGCACGCTCAAGGTGAGCCTAGCAGTGTTTTCCCAAATGCCGGCGCGCCATGCCTCCACACGTTTCCCTGCACCCATAAACCCGCCCTCTCAGGAGAAGTTCAAGGCGTTCAACATCCTGTTGGAGGAGATCCGTCGCGACCAAACACAGTGGCTTGTGCCCCTTCCCATCCTGTTTCCTTCCATCCTGCTCCCTTCCATCGTGCACCCACAAACCCACCCCCTCAGGAAAAATTTAAGGCGTTCAACATTCTGTTGGAGGAGATTCATCGCGACCAAACGCGGTGGCTTGTCAACCCGGGTCCATTGCGGGACGAATTGCGTCTGGCGGTGAAGCAGCGTGTGCTCGCGCCCTACACAGACTTTTATCTCGCTTATAAGCATGTCATGGAGGCGTCGAGGCACCCGGGGAAATACCTGCGGCATGATCCTGTAGAGGTTAATGAAATGATTCTGGACCTTTTTGTAGGATATCAAGGACATTAGAATTGTGTATATTTCAATTGCTTATTGAAAGAAATGAAGTTCGAGCTTCCTACTAATTATACTAAAGTGGCACACGATGATGAATGACTGTATAACGAACCAAGATTCACTGACCATTTCCTAAGCAGATCCCCCAACACACCACCGCAGTTCCGCCTCGATTCGTTGCCTCCATCTCCTTATCCCGCTCTTCTCGTTTTTTGGCATCCACCGCAACAACGTTCCGGTCGCGCGGGGAAGCGCATGGGGCGCGGGGAGGCGGCGGACGGGGGGCTGCGCCGGCAGCAGCAGGAGCGCGCGATTGCTGACGTCATGGGGACGGGGGAGCTGCGCGCCGCAGTGGTCGACGTGGCGCGCGCGCTCATCGCGGCCGACGCGAATGATTTCGGTACGGGCGCTAACCTTCGTTGAGCTCACGGGGCATAGCGCCCGGCGCATGCCACATCAATCGTCCCCCTCAGGCCTCCCTTTCCCCGCGTCGATCTTCCCCGCATCCGTCTTGCGCAATCCCCGCCTCCCCCGCTTCACTTTGCCCCCACGCGTTCTCGCTCGCCCTTCCCCCTTCTTCAGCGGCGGCGGAGCGCGCGCAGCAGCGCAGGCTGGCGGCAGATATGGCGCGCGCAATCATGGCGGCGGAGCTGGCGGCCGCGCGCGTGAGCGAGGGGGAGCGCGCGGAGCGGGCGTTCCGCAGCCTGTGGTTCGACTTCCCGTCCGCCCAGCCGCGCGACCTTTCTGCGCTCGCTGGCGCTATCAGGTGGGGGGGAAAGAAGGGGAAGGGGGAAGGGGAGCGGCATGCGAGGAACGAGGAGCATGGACTATGGGGCATGCGAGGAACGAGGAGCATGGACTATGGGGCATGGGGCATGGGGCATGGGGCATGGGGCATGGGGCATGGGGCATAGCATACGTACGGACTATCATGAAGAGAAAATGGTGGAAGAGGGGGTTGGGTGGGAGGGAAACGTGGGCTGTGCATAGTGGAATCAAGTGGTAGTGGCTTCAAGTTACTCTTTGCGTGTCTGTTTGTCCGCACATGCACACATGCATGCATACCTCTTCCCGTGCAGAAATCAGGTGGACCTGATCCCATCCACAGGCAGCAGCAGCGCCACCAGCAGCGGCACCACAAGCAGCAGCAGCGCTCCCTCCTTCCCCATCACGAGTCGGTTCCTCTCCGGCCTCTCATACGTTGCAACCTCTGCGCACAAGGCACAGCTGGGCAGAAGCAGCACAGCTGCCAGCAACTCAGCTCCTGCAGCGGCAGCAGCAACAGCAGGGGAAGGAGGGAGGGAAGGACCAAGAGGGGCAGCAGGGGTGGGGGAAGGGGACGCTGGAGTGGGCGAGGAGGAGCAGGGGGCAGCAGGCAGGCAGCTTGCAGCCGCTGCTGCTCAGATTGCTGGTGAGTTTCGTTCTTTTGGTTCCGGCGGGCCCGGATGCACTTCACGATTCTGTTTTCAGCACCGTCTTGTTTCTGGAAGACAGCTGTACCGTCATATCTTCCTTGCTCGTAGGCATTTGAGTAACCCCCCCATACCACCCCCTTGTGGCTCCGATCTCAAATAGTATCCTGGTAGCTTGCATAAATATTTTTCAGCAGGTGAACTTTTTTTTTTTTTGGTGTGTGTATAATTTTTCTCATGGCTGTGTTTGAATCGCTGTTGTTTGATTGTTTGGGCTGCCTCTTCCTGCAGCTTCTTTCCTGGTGAAGCTGCCCGCAAACTGTTTCAAACTGCCCGGCGATGCTGGAGTAAAAGCGTTTGCAGCTGCCCTCTCCTCCTTCCACCTCGACCCTCCGGAGCTCCCCGCTCCTGCTGCCGAACCTTCTGCCGAGCCTGGATCGAATGAAGCCAGAGCTCTAGGCAACGGGGCTAGTGACGCTTCAGAAGAAGGGGCAGCAGCACCTGAAGCGAATGGGAGCAGCACCAACGGCACCACGGCTGCTAGTGGAGGGGCTGCTAGTGCTGACGATGCAGAGAGGGAGACCAATGATGATGCGGACTCAGACGGTAAGGGGGATCCTCGATGTGCCCCTACTCGCGTGGATGTGGAAATAAGGCGCCTCAAAACTCTTGTCATTGCATGCACTTTCAAACGGTATGCTCCCTTTTTGGGTGGGTTTCACGCCAGTCTCCTCCCTCTTTCATGCTCGCCTCTCCTCTTTCATGCTCGCCTCTCCTCTTTCATGCTCGCCTCTCCCCTTTCATGCTCGCCTCTCCTCTTTCATGCTCGCCTCTCCTCTTTCATGCTCGCCTCTCCTCTTTCATGCTCGCCTCTCCTCTTTCATGCTCGCCTCTCCTCTTTCATGCTCGCCTCTCCTCTTTCATGCTCGCCTCTCCTCTTTCATGCTCGCCTCTCCTCTTTCATGCTCGCCTCTCCTCTTTCATGCTCGCCTCTCCTCTTTCATGCTCGCCTCTCCTCTTTCATGCTCGCCTCTCCTCTTTCATGCTCGCCTCTCCTCTTTCATGCTCTCCTCTTTCTCCTCCCCTCATGTTCCTCGACTGCACTTCCCCCTCCATTGCCACCCCATCCCACCCCACCCCACCCCACTGTCCCATTCTATTCCCATTGTACTTCACCCAGAAGCATCCGATGCATCGGATTGGCTCCCTTTGGAAGACGAATCTCCCTCATTGCCTCCCACTCTAGACCACCACCACCGCCACCACCACCACCACCACCACCATCACCATCACCATCACCATCACCATGATCAGGAGCAGCAGCAGCAGCGGCACGTCGAGGATCCCTCTGACTGGTCAATTTTGCTTGCGAAATGGGCGGCGTTGGTCGGCAGCTTACAGGGCGTTCTTCCCGGCAGTGCTGACTCAGCGTGGGGCCAGGAGGGGATGACTGATGACGTGGCGAGGCTGGCTGTGCTGATAAGCGCGCAGCCAATCACAGAAGGGCAGACGGACGGCAGTATTGGCAATCGTACAGAAGGCAATGGGGAAGGGAAGGAGGGTGCGGTTGGGGGTGCTGATAGGGCTGGGGATGGGGTTGGGGTAGGAGTGGGAGTGGAAAAGAGTGTGAGGGGAGAAAGACGTGTGGCAGAGAGAGGAGTGGGATGCGGTGCAGTGGGTGGCGAGGGTGTGTACCCCGTGTTGCTATCCTCCTATCTGGATCTCCTCTCCCTCAGACTGCTGTATCTCTGCTCCTCCTCCTCCTCCACCTCTTCCTACCCTGCCACCAGTGCCCCTGCTGGTACCGGCAGTAGCAGCACGAGCAGCAGCAGCAATGTGATCTCGCAGGCTGTAGAATCCATTCACGCCGCCGCCTCCTCCCCTCGCCTCTCCCTCCCTCCCTCACCCTCCCTATCGCCTCTCAAGCCACCCCCCCCTGCCCTCACTGCTACAGCTACCTCTCTCGCCCTCCTCTCGTACCTCATCTCCCACATCTCTGCCTCGTCGTCTCACAATTCATATGCAGCTAAGGGGAGGGAAGCCCGTGGGGGGATAGGGGGAGGTAGGGTGCCAGGCTCGGTGGGAGGTTCGGAGGAGAAGCTGGTTCGGCGGAAGGTTTGGGCGGCGGTGAACGCGTTCTGCCCTGGGTTAGGGGATCTGGTGCAATGGACATCGACCAATCACGCAGCAGCGGCATCAGCAAGTGCAAAAGCAGCAGCAAACGCAACCATAGCAACAGCCACAGCTCAAGTCTCAGTGCACTTGCAGCGAGTGTTGCTGTTCTGGATTCAATCGGCTGCCTCCTCCGCCCCTTCCCCTGCTGTTGCTCGCACCGTCGGTGACTCGGCCATCAAGGTACATTTTCCCAGTAGCAACTGAAGTAAATGCGTCACTTGTTATCACTGCAACTTCATTGTAAAGATTCGTGCCTGTGTGTTATCGAATGATCTTGAAGCTTTACTGCTGTTGCTCTCCTGTGTGTCAGTTTGACGTGGCAGCAAGCGAGGGTTCGTTCGTTGTATGCAAGCCGAATTCACTGTTCGTTGTATGCAAGCCAAATTCACTTCTCTTTCTCTTGATTCTCTCCCTCCTGTTCCCTCACATGCCCTCCCATTATCCCCCACCAGTCGGGCCTGTGTCGAGCTCTCGTGGCGGCTCACTCCTCCCTCGCATCACCCAAGCCACGCCCAGCAACCACACAGCCACCCACAGGCTTACACGTGGCACCACCAGCCACATCCCAGTTTCCAACCGCATGGCAGTGGCTTGACACAGCTTTGCTCTTCCTCGCTGTAAGCGCCCTTGCTCACTACCCTCCCCATAAAGCCAAATCATCCTCACTCTGACTCTCTTCATTAAGTTTGGCTTCTTCAGCCAGGAACGTAAGTCCTCTGCTTCAGAGGTTCACCAACCATACGTTCTTGGACATGCCTCTGCTCGCCTGTGCGTGCCTCTGGTTAGATTTGCCTATGTCATGACCCAATCAAATCATACCCACTAACCCTGTTTCTTCCTGTTTGTTCCGTTTCCTCCCTCCAGGCTTCATCTCCAGAGGTTCGGACCTTTGTCTCAAAGGCACTGCCCTCCCGAGCCTGCTTTCCATTCCCGCTCCCACTTCCGAACCAACCGCCTTCTGCCGAGCCTGGAGGTTTGGCACCGGCGCTGCCTGGCTCGGTTGCCGAAGCTGACTGGGTGTGGCCGTTGCTGCTGGATCCAAACCGGACCCAAGCCGAACAGCCATTGGCGTGGCTGCTAGATTCCCTGGCAGTGACTATGGATGGTGTTCTTACAGCAAAGGGCGATGGTGGCTTGGAAACGATGGGGAACAAGAACGGTTTTGGCTTTACCCTGGTAAGTGTGGGGCAGTCTGCATTTCGTGCCCGCCTCTGTGTTTCTACTTTGTTAGTTGATGGAGCAGACTGAATGGGATATGCAAGCTGCCATACTGTTGCGCAAACAGCATAACCAGGGAAATCTCAAATGCGCCTCTGCTCTGTGACTCTGTCTATACCATGCCCTTTCACACCCAACAGGACGTTGCCACCTCAGCTTCCCGCACACTCGCCCTCCTCCTCAGCATCCTCCTCGTCAGCAGCCACCTGGCACCTCCCAGAAGCGCCACGTCAGCACCCCCTATCCTCCCCAAAGGCGGCCAGCTGGCAGCTGCTGTGACCCGGTGTGTGACTGTAATGAGGGATGGAGCAAGAAGACTGGCAGGGGAGGCGGAGCAGAGGAGGGTTGAAGAGGAAAGAGCACGGGCGGCAGCAGCAGCTGCTGCAGCAAATGACGAGCCACAGTTGAGTGACATACTGCTATCTGATGCCATGGCTGCTGCTGCTGGTACTAGTGAGGGTGCTAGTGCTGCTGCTGCTGTTTCTGCTGTTTCTGCGGCTGCCGCTGCTGGAGGGAGTGATGGGGGGGAGAGGAGGGGAGGGGGACAGCATGCGCGCGGTGGTTGGGGGGAGGCAGCAGGGGGGAAGCTAGGGGAGGTGGTGCCACGGCTGTTGGACCTTCTGAAGGCAGTGCAGGCAGAGGTGGGTTGTGGGGGTGGTGCTAGTGCTGGCAGGGGCAAGTGCGACTGAGTATCATCTGGTAGATAGAAGGGAAGAAAGGCTAAAAGAGGGCAGCCTTTGGGAGTGAGTTTGTGCCACGGCTGCTGCGGCTGCTGTACCTGCTGCAGGCGGTGCTGCAGAGGGTGCTGGGGGGAAGCTGGGGGAGGCGGTACCTCAGCTGTTGGATCTGGTGCAGGCAGAGGCGGGCGGTGGTGGTGGTGCGAGTGCTAGCAGGGGCAAGTGCGACTGAGCATCCAGGAGGTGCATGAGTGGGTGCCATGGTTGCTGTGCCGAATCAATCGACTGTAGAGCATGCATGGCGGAAATGCCAAATCAATTGACTGCTGGATTGGAAGTTTTTCATCCCAGTCCAACACCTGTTGGATTGGATGGGCCCTAGAGTTCATGTTTTGCTATACTACAGTAAGCAAACTGGTTCTTCTCATGTGAAGGTACCGTACCGTATAAGCCAGAAAGCACTGGGAAGAACCAGGCAACGAAGCAGTAGAGCAGGCAAGGTGGCTGGAGTGGAGGGAATCTGCAGTGAATGCATGATGAAACATTCATGAAAGCACAAGAGCTTGCACAGCATAGTCAGAACAGCAGCGGATACCGTGCTTCTGCACAGCCCAACCCTGCATACACCCTAGCCGCTCTTCCTAGTCTGTGCCACAGGGAACCTCATCCTATCCTTTGCACGTGCTGCCCTGCCCTGGGCATGTTGCCACGTCACAAAACACGAACTGAACTGACACGTCACCATACTGACGAGCTACCGGCCGACTAAGACGGTGTCAACGCTGCTGCCAGGTGGCAGCTCCCACTTTTCCCGGAGCCGTTGATTCTCTCGCTTCTTGTCCCGCCGCGCGTTGCCGTACGACCCTTTAAAGATCTTCCCCCGCCTCGTGCGCTTGTCCCCGCGCCCGCACTCCATCCCCGCCCCCGCGTGCTCCCCCCACGGCAGCGGTTGGGCGGAAACGTCCGCGGAAGCGGAACTGATAACAGGGGACGCGGAAGCGTCAAGCGGAGGTAATCCGGGTGACGCTGGCGCGGAGGCGAATAGCGGAACATGCGGAAAGCCGAGGATGCCGTTCAGATGCGACGCGATTCTTAGCTCAGCGGTGAGATCCACCGTACAGGGAGGGTCTGCGTAGTGGAGGGTGTGCGAGGGCGGAAGGAAGCTTCGTGTGGCGATTAGCGAGCGGAGCTGCAGCGGGGCGCGCGACGAAGCGAGACGGCGGATAGACGCCATTATTGCGCGCGGCACGCGACCGGACACGATCCGATGGGAGTAGCTAAACGTTGCTAGTGCGGTGCCCCAGAAGTGTCTGCTGGTGGTGCTGGCTACGCTGAGGGAAACGGGTAAGGGGAGATGCTTCATCCTCGCTATAGAAAATACATCGTGTGCACAGGCTGCACGAGAACTGAAAGACTCAAACTCACTAGCACTTCCTCAAATCTTTTACTACACCACCTGAACAGTACATTTCCAAGCAAGTACAATACAGACATGCCACGCACCAAACTCCCCAAAAATGCCATTTGCGAGCAATCTTTTCTGTAACTCCAGCACTCAACTGAACACCTCCAGCTAGTGCTTTTTTATATCCTTCGATTCTCGAAACCTAACCTGTGATTTGGATCACCCCACCCCACCCCCATGTCCGAGTCGGTTCTCTTTCCAAGGACTCCTCCTGCATTGCGCCCCCCCTAGTCGGTGCTTCTGCCGCGTGGCTTGCCGCCACGAGGCGCATCGAGATGCAGCGACACAAAGATGACACTCATCACTATAACAAGGCAGCCCAGTAGCGAGGACAGCAGCATGGCTCCTGGTTGCCGCACCTGTGAGACAAAGTGATGGGAGTCAAAAGGATGAGACACAAAGCTGCGGACACAGGCCAGTGATGGAACAGCATGAAGCGAGTTGAAGGGGTGGCGCACACAGCAAAACAGTAAGCGAAGGTAGCATAACACCATGAACACGCTCAAGAAACAGACAGACAGATATGTGAGAGGAGCCAAGGGCAAACAAGCAGTGCGCACCTAAACGAACCCATACGGGCCAATGGCAGTGACGACGGTCAGGTCATTCAGCCGATCGCCATTGAAATCCGCCACAATAATCGGCTCCGTGGGCGTCGTAGGCAGCGCACCTGAACAAAACCTTACGCACCTGAACAAACCCATACGGGCCAATGGCGGTGACGATAATCAGGTCATTCAACCGATCGCCATTGAAATCCGCCACAATAATCGGCTCCGTGGGCGTCGTCGGCAGCGCCAGCGTCCCCAGAATCTTCCCCCCCGGAGACACAAACACCGCCTCGTTATCCCCCACCGCCAGAATCACCTCCGGCCGCCCCCCGGCTTTAAGAGCCATGGCGCGTAGGGACGGCACGTGGGCGGGGGGAGCAGAGGAGTCGAAGGCAGCTGCAGGGTCGGCGGGCGTCCACTTGGCGTCTGTGCTGATCTGCCACCGCATGTGGCCGTGTGGGCCCTTGCTGCTCAGTGGCTCAGTCGCGTATGAAGTGATCTGGTAGGAGTGTGGTGGGGAGGAAGGCAAGATAGATCAGAGGCGCTGAGTGCTGATCTGCCACCATATGAGGCCATGTGGGCCCTCGCTGCCACTCAGGGCCCGAGTCGCGCATGAGGTGAGCAGTGGTTGCCAGGTATTTTTGAGAATTCTCAAAAATACTCTACATTGCAGTGGTTGCCAGGTGCCCAGTGCCTCAAGACGTGTTGAGTGGTTGCCAGGTGCCCAGTGCCTCACAGCGTGTTGAGTGGTTACCAGGTGCCCAGTGCCTCACAGCGTGTTGAGTGGGCCCTACTACTCACCTCACCCCAGCTGTTCAAGTAATCAAGCAGAAGTAATCGCCGTGTGCGTGGTGCTGTGCGTGCTACTACAATCAGTAATCGCCGTGGCAGTGCTTCTGGCGGTGGTGGCATGGCATCTCCTTACCGCCTGCTCACCTCGCCTCGGCTGTTGAAGTAGATCACGTCGCCGTGGCGCCGCTGGTGGCGGTGATGGCGGTCCCTGCGAGGCAGCAGAATGGGGGCCACCACGCCCACCCGCTGCTGCCCTGTCGCATGCTCGTTCCACTGCTCCTGGAACTCGGAGCTGCAATGGAGGGAGGAAGGGAAGAGGGGGAAGAGAGAGAACAAAACAGGAAAGGGTGTTCAAGGAGCAGTGGAACGAGCATTTCCATCAGCTTCCCCCATCAGTTGCCCCCATCAGTTTCCCCCATCAGTTTCCCCCATCAGTTTCCCCCATCAGTTTCCCAGCCTTGGGACTGGAGCTGCAGTCCCAGCCTTGGGACTGGAGCTGCAGTCCCAGCTTGGGGACTGGAGCTGCAGTCCCAGCTTGGGGACTGGAGCTGCAGTCCCAGCTTGGGGACTGGAGCTGCAGTCCCGGCTTTGGGACTGGAGCTGCAGTCCCAGCTTGGGGACTGGAGCTGCAGTCCCAGCTTGGGGACTGGAGCTGCAGTCCCAGCTTGGGGACTGGAGCTGCAGTCCCAGCTTGGGGACTGGAGCTGCAGTCCCAGCTTGGGGACTGGAGCTGCAGTCCCAGCTTGGGGACTGGAGCTGCAGTCCCTGCTTTGAGACTGGAGCTGCAGTCCCAGCTTCGGGACTGGAGCTGCAGTCCCAGCTTGGGGACTGGAGCTGCAGTCCCAGCTTGGGGACTGGAGCTGCAGTCCCAGCTTTGGGACTAGAGCTGCAGTCCCTGCTTTGGGACTGGAGCTGCAGTCCCTGCATGGGGACTGGAGCTGCAGTCCCTGCTTTGGGACTGGAGCTGCAGTCCCTGATTTGGGACTGGAGCTGCAATCCCAGCGTGGGGACTGGAGCTGCAGTCCCTGCTTTGGGACTGGAGCTGCAGTCCCTGCTTTGGGACTGGAGCTGCAGTCCCTGCTTGGGGACTGGAGCTGCAGTCCCAGCTTGGGGACTGGAGCTGCAGTCCCAGCTTGGGGACTGGAGCTGCAGTCCCAGCTTGGGGACTGGAGCTGCAGTCCCGGCTTTGGGACTGGAGCTGCAGTCCCTGCTTGGGGACTGGAGCTGCAGTCCCGGCTTTGGGACTGGAGCTGCAGTCCCAGCTTGGGGACTGGAGCTGCAGTCCCAGCTTGGGGACTGGAGCTGCAGTCCCAGCTTGGGGACTGGAGCTGCAGTCCCAGCTTGGGGACTGGAGCTGCAGTCCCAGCTTGGGGACTGGAGCTGCAGTCCCAGCTTGGGGACTGGAGCTGCAGTCCCAGCTTGGGGACTGGAGCTGCAGTCCCGGCTTTGGGACTGGAGCTGCAGTCCCAGCTTGGGGACTGGAGCTGCAGTCCCAGCTTGGGGACTGGAGCTGCAGTCCCAGCTTGGGGACTGGAGCTGCAGTCCCGGCTTGCGTGGGGACTGGAGCTGCAGTCCCTGCTTGGGGACTGAAGCTGCAGTCCCTGCTTGGGGACTGAAGCTGCAGTCCCAGCTTTGAGACTGGAGCTGCAGTCCCTGCGTGGGGACTGGAGCTGCAGTCCCAACGTGGGGACTGAAGCTGCAGTCCCAGCGTGGGGACTGGAGCTGCAGTCCCTGCTTGGGGACTGGAGCTGCAGTCCCGGCTTTGGGACTGGAGCTGCAGTCCCAGCTTGGGGACTGGAGCTGCAGTCCCAGCTTGGGGACTGGAACTCCAGTCCCTGCGTGAGGAATGGAGCTGCAGTCCCTGCTTTGGGACTGGAGCTGCAGTCCCTGCTTTGGGACTGGAGCTGCAGTCCCAGCTTTGGGACTAGAGCTGCAGTCCCTGCTTTGGGACTGGAACTGCAGTCCCAGCTTGGGGACTGGAGCTGCAGTCCCGGCTTTGGGACTGGAGCTGCAGTCCCAGATTTGGGACTGGAGCTGCAATCCCAGCGTGGGGACTGGAGCTGCAGTCCCTGCTTTGGGACTGGAGCTGCAGTCCCTGCTTTGGGACTGGAGCTGCAGTCCCTGCTTTGGGACTGGAGCTGCAGTCCCTGCTTTGGGACTGGAGCTGCAGTCCCAGCTTGGGGACTGGAGCTGCAGTCCCAGCTTGGGGACTGGAGCTGCAGTCCCAGCTTGGGGACTGGAGCTGCAGTCCCAGCTTGGGGACTGGAGCTGCAGTCCCAGCTTGGGGACTGGAGCTGCAGTCCCAGCTTGGGGACTGGAGCTGCAGTCCCAGCTTGGGGACTGGAGCTGCAGTCCCAGCTTGGGGACTGGAGCTGCAGTCCCGGCTTGCGTGGGGACTGGAGCTGCAGTCCCTGCTTGGGGACTGGAGCTGCAGTCCCAGCTTGGGGACTGGAGCTGCAGTCCCAGCTATGGGACTGGAGCTGCAGTCTCTGCGTGGGGACTGGAGCTGCAGTCCCTGCTTTGGGACTGGAGCTGCAGTCCCAACGTGGGGACTGAAGCTGCAGTCCCAGCGTGGGGACTGGAGCTGCAGTCCCTGCTTGGGGACTGGAGCTGCAGTCCCGGCTTTGGGACTGGAGCTGCAGTCCCAGCTTGGGGACTGGAGCTGCAGTCCCAGCTTGGGGACTGGAGCTGCAGTCCCGGCTTGCGTGGGGAATGGAGCTGCAGTCCCTGCGTGGGGACTGGAGCTGCAGTCCCTGCTTTGGGACTGGAGCTGCAGTCCCTGCTTTGGGACTGGAGCTGCAGTCCCAGCTTTGGGACTAGAGCTGCAGTCCCTGCTTTGGGACTGGAGCTGCAGTCCCTGCTTTGGGACTGGAGCTGCAGTCCCTGCTTTGGGACTGGAGCTGCAGTCCCAGATTTGGGACTGGAGCTGCAATCCCAGCGTGGGGACTGGAGCTGCAGTCCCTGCTTTGGGACTGGAGCTGCAGTCCCTGCATTGGGACTGGAGCTGCAGTCCCTGCTTGGGGACTGGAGCTGCAGTCCCAGCTTGGGGACTGGAGCTGCAGTCCCAGCTTGGGGACTGGAGCTGCAGTCCAAGCGTGGGGACTGGAGCTGCAGTCCCAGCTTGGGGACTGGAGCTGCAGTCCCAGCTTGGGGACTGGAGCTGCAGTCCCAGCTTGGGGACTGGAGCTGCAGTCCCGGCTTTGGGACTGGAGCTGCAGTCCCTGCGTGGGGAATGGAGCTGCAGTCCATGCGTGGGGACTGGAGCTGCAGTCCCTGCTTTGGGAGTGGAGCTGCAGTCCCTGCTCTGGGACTGGAGCTGCAGTCCCAGCTTGGGGACTGGAGCTGCAGTCCCAGCTTGGGGACTGGAGCTGCAGTCCCGGCTTTGGGACTGGAGCTGCAGTCCCTGCTTGGGGACTGGAGCTGCAGTCCCGGCTTTGGGACTGGAGCTGCAGTCCCAGCTTGGGGACTGGAGCTGCAGTCCCAGCTTGGGGACTGGAGCTGCAGTCCCAGCTTGGGGACTGGAGCTCCAGTCCCAGCTTGGGGACTGGAGCTGCAGTCCCAGCTTGGGGACTGGAGCTGCAGTCCCAGCTTGGGGACTGGAGCTGCAGTCCCAGCTTGGGGACTGGAGCTGCAGTCCCGGCTTGCGTGGGGACTGGAGCTGCAGTCCCTGCTTGGGGACTGGAGCTGCAGTCCCAGCTTGGGGACTGGAGCTGCAGTCCCGGCTTTGGGACTGGAGCTGCAGTCCCAGCTTGGGGACTGGAGCTGCAGTCCCAGCTTGGGGACTGGAGCTGCAGTCCCAGCTTGGGGACTGGAGCTGCAGTCCCAGCTTGGGGACTGGAGCTGCAGTCCCAGCTTGGGGACTGGAGCTGCAGTCCCAGCTTGGGGACTGGAGCTGCAGTCCCAGCTTGGGGACTGGAGCTGCACTCCCTGCGTGGGGACTGGAGCTGAAGTCCCTGCTTTAGGACTGGAGCTGCAGTCCCTGCTTTGGGACTGGAGCTGCAGTCCCAGCTTTGGGATTGGAGCTGCAGTCCCAACTTTGGGACTGGAGCTGCAGTCCCAGCTTGGGGACTGGAGCTGCAGTCCCAGCTTGGGGACTGGAGCTGCAGTCCCAGCTTGGGGACTGGAGCTGCAGTCCAAGCTTTGGAACTGGAGCTGCAGTCCCAGCTTTGGGACTGGAGCTGCAGTCCCAGCTTGGGGACTGGAGCTGCAGTCCCGGCTTTGGGACTGGAGCTGCAGTCCCTGCTTTGGGACTGGAGCTGCAGTCCCAGCGTGGGGACTGGAGCTGCAGTCCCTGCTTTGGGACTGGAGGTGCAGTCCCAGCTTTGGGACTGGAGCTGCAGTCCGAGCTTTGGGACTGGAGCTGCAGTCCCTGCTTTGGGACTGGAGCTGCAGTCCCTGCTTTGGGACTTGAGCTGCAGTCCCTGCTTTGGGACTGGAGCTGCAGTCCCAGCTTTGAGACTGGAGCTGCAGTCCCAGCTTTGGGACTGGAGCTGCAGTCCCAGCTTGGGGACTGGAGCTGCAGTCCCTGCTTTGAGACTGGAGCTGCAGTCCCAGCTTTGGGACTGGAGCTGCAGTCCCTGCTTTGGGACTGGAGCTGCAGTCCCAGCGTGGAGATTGGAGCTGCAGTCCCTGCTTTGGGACTGGAGCTGCAGTCCCTCCTTAGGGACTGGAGCTGCAGTCCCCGCTTTGGGACTGGAGCTGCAGTCCCAGCTTGGGGACTGGAGCTGCAGTCCCAGCTTGGGGACTGGAGCTGCAGTCCCAGCTTTGAGACTGGAGCTGCAGTCCCAGCTTTGGGACTGGAGCTGCAGTCCCAGCTTGGGGACTGGAGCTGCAGTCCCGGCTTTGGGACTGGAGCTGCAGTCCCAGCTTTGGGATTGGAGCTGCAGTCCCAACTTTGGGACTGGAGCTGCAGTCCCAGCTTGGGGACTGGAGCTGCAGTCCCAGCTTGGGGACTGGAGCTGCAGTCCCAGCTTGGGGACTGGAGCTGCAGTCCAAGCTTTGGAACTGGAGCTGCAGTCCCAGCTTTGGGACTGGAGCTGCAGTCCCAGCTTTGGGACCGGAGCTGCAGTCCCTGCTTTGGGACTGGAGCTGCAGTCCCTGCTTTGGGACTGGAGCTGCAGTCCCAGCGTGGGGACTGGAGCTGCAGTCCCTGCTTTGGGACTGGAGGTGCAGTCCCAGCTTTGGGACTGGAGCTGCAGTCCGAGCTTTGGGACTGGAGCTGCAGTCCCTGCTTTGGGACTGGAGCTGCAGTCCCTGCTTTGGGACTTGAGCTGCAGTCCCTGCTTTGGGACT